ATTTAATGTTGGTGTTAGATGACAGCAACTTCTATAGACTAAACCCTTTTAGTGTTGGTGTTAGATGACAGCAACTTCTATAGACCAATCCCTTTTAATGTTGGTGTTAGATGACAGCAAATTTTATAGACCAATCCCTTTTAGTGTTGGTGTTAGATAACAGCAACTTCTATAGACCAAACCCTTTTAATGTTGGTGTTAGATGACAGCAACTTCTATAGACTAAACCCTTTTAATGTTGGTGTTAGATGACAGCAACTTCTATAGACTAAACCCTTTTAATGTTGGTGTTAGATGACAGCAACTTCTATAGACCAAACCCTTTTAATGTTGGTGTTACATGACAGCAACTTCTATAGACCAATCCCTTTTAATGTTGGTGTTAGATGACAGCAACTTCTATAGACCAAACCATTTTAATGTTGGTGTTAGATGACAACAACACTCTTAGTACTCAGAATAAAAGTACAAAGAAATATAATAAAATGTGTCAAGAAGCAAGATATACATATACCTGAATAGATAATTGATTGTTATCCAACCAGGGGTGAAATTCTGCTGGAACTTACTTTTTAAGGCAATACTAGTACTAGGACTTATTTGAGCAGCTTTGTTGTTTTTTATGTTTACACACAGATTTTTTTTCCTTCTCAAAAACAGGTCCACTTCACCCAGCTGCATACCTCTACTCTTTTTTTGAGAATTTCACCCCTGTACCCAACCCTCTGCTGATAATTTTTACTGTAGTAACCCCAGAGTTGGTGGTGGTTGCTGTTAAATAGCTGCATTCCCCTCTCGTCTGTCAGTTCAAAATTAGGGACAGCTGTGAATGGAACCCTGCATTAAAACTTCCCAAGCAAACATTATCATTACATAATGATAAGGTGGAATTAATAGAAGCGTCTTGTTTTGCTGGTGATTTCTAACATTATTTTTGCATATGCAACGATTAACACTGTGAAAAAGTAAATTAATATAAAGTGTCATTACCAATTATTACCATACGTTGCTGCTTAGAATTAAGTTTAACAAAATGCTTGCAGTACACTATTTTCTTAAGGTATGATAAAATAGGCAGTTTTTCATCTTGGATTTTTTTTCTACGCATGTCTGTTTTTTTCTGATAAGGGATTTATACAAGGTGTTTCTGACATTTCATGTGTTCATATTAAAAATAGTTGTGGTGTCTAGTTGTGCGTATCTAGATGACACTTCATGTGGCCGTGCAGTCCAAAGCTGGTTGCAGTGTGGTGTTTCTCTCTTGCAGTGGAAAGATGTTTTTGGCAGTCGTCTTCCAGTTTTGCAACAGTGTGTTGGTAAGTAACTGCCAGGTGAGGCTGGTTTAGGTAATCATTTCGGTATATATATATATATAAAAGTTTAACTATTTATATAGTTATTTTGTATGTAAGTAATGAGAGCAAGTTTCAATTCTTCTCTTCTAGTATGTGGAGGCACATATGTTAACATTATTTTTGACAAAAGTTTCAAAATATAGTTCTTCAGTACTTACTATCACCTATTTTTCATGCTTTTTGCTGTTATTTTTTGTAAATATAAATTAGAAGTGTGTTATGATGAGGGCATTTCTGTGACACTCCAAGGTTGGAAGCTAGAAAGTAAAACTTGGACTGTAGGAATTTGTTTGTCAGTACGTCACATCAAAACAGTGATTTCGACAAATTGTACGTATAGAAGAATTGTACCTAATTGTTTGTACATTTGATGATTTATTGCTTTTTTTTTTTCAAACGTAATGGCGCATAAAACATGATACTTAAGAAAAGGTGAGAGTGAGTTGTCAAAGTGACAAGATTAGGTCAGAGGTCACATTTGTCTGAT